TGAAAAGCCAACTGAAAGAGATGGAAATATGGTCAAAGCTGGAAAAAGACAACCTACCACCTAGGAACTGGCTTATAGCCAGCCTTCTTGCTCTAAAATACTCACTGGATATTCAAGAAGATCCACTGGTTGTCGAAATGGTTCAGAGTCTTCACACTGAAAAATGAGATTCAGCAGCTCCTGGCATTGCTTCTTCCATGACTGAATGTCATATGACTGAGCTCTATTACGTAGTCGCCGCTTTGGCTGATGATCCTGAAATGACAATATTGCTTGGTGTATATTAAACTAGGTGCTTTTACAAAACCTATTGGAAAAGGTTTCCCACAGGATATAAATGAATTCACAGCATGCAGCAGCACAGACAGAAATGCTTTTACATTGAACAGCTCAGTAGAAGCTCAGTGAACATCTCTAAGTTCAAAACTTTCAAAAAGCTGATATTACACAATAATAAAAACATTTTCAGCTTTACATTCTGTGGTTTACAAATGCATTTTATAATTATTTACAAGACTACAAAATATAAGTAAAAAAAAAATCTTAAGAATATTTACCTTTCTTTTTCTAGTGGAAGTGCCTGGCACATTTGTATCTTTCTCTTCTTCCTTTGAGCAAGATAATGAGTTGCACAGAAAGGTTAAAAAATATAAACATATATGAGTAGGTGAGGTTTTTTTGTACTTCATTTATAATTTGAGTCTTTATAGTCCTACTCATGTCCCTTTGAGAAACATTTCATGTGACTGTCAGTTCTGAGAACCTCTCAGAAATCTAAGCAGCATCTAAATTCTCCAGCAATCCATTAAAGCTCTCCGCACTAAAGGAGAAGAGGAGGCTGGATTTTCATCCAGTTTCCCAGCTGACAAAAAGAAACATTTTATTGACAGACAAGTACATCCCACTCCCTTACAGTGACTGAAACCAGTACTTTGGTCTTCCACAGGACAGAGACAATGGTCCCATTTCTCCAGTGTATCGATGCCAATGTCTACGACACAACCACTTACCTCATCAGAGTCAGACAACACTTTCTTCTTCATTGCATTGTATAATGGAATTATGTCATAGCAACTCTGGTCTCTGTGTAAAAAGAAATACAAGTGATATTTATCTTCCATCTTCACCTAAGGAATCAATTGTAATTTGCCTAGGATATGGAAAATATATATGAAGCCATTCCCAAATAAGAATGTGTTTACTGCTATACGAATACTAAGATGACTGCAGTAATAAGTCAAGCTAATCATCTGCTCAAAAGCTGTAAAATATTATCTGCACTCTGTCAAATATAGACCACTTAACAGTGTCAATGTTTTAAAATTTACCATAAATTTATCAGCATTAGAAAAGCCTAATATTATGCCACATAAAGGGCTTTGGGGACCATCTAGCTTTTTAAGAAGCATTACAGTGTACAAAAAGTACAATTTAATACATTAGCACCCACAACGTAAGACATTTGAAATGCAATGTTCATTTGACTAGGACATTGATAAAGACTAACACTGTTAGTGTATAAACCTGCATAATTAATTCAGCAAAAAACACACTAAGTTTCAATTCCTGTTGAACATAAAAAGTTCCTATAAAAAGGAAAGCCCCAAGGCATTCTACTATGTAGAATCCAAACCACTGGGAAAAAAGTGGTTTGTGACACTTGCAACTAAACACTCAGTAACTCAACACCATAATACAGGCTACTGCAATCGCCTGTAATAGCTGGGAGGGAAGGTGAAAAAAGATCAAGCAACATCAACACCCTCTCCTCCCCCTTTTCAGCTTTTTAAGAGACTTAGGTAACTTAAGAAACTAAGCCTTAGATTCTCAGATGCATCACTCTCACTAGAACTATGGGCTTTGCTTTCCATGGTCTAGGCCTTCTACCTCACAGTTAGAACCATAACAATAAAAAGAAGTCTAGGCTTTATATCAATTGCTAGTTCACTTAAATCAGTATATAAATAGACTCAAGCTATAGGCCATTAATAAATAAAAATATCTGTGTTGCATTAATTTAGCTAAGCCAATTAAAAACATACACTTGGAAAAACCCTGAGCTGCTTAATAAACTAGAAAAAAAAAATCATGTAGACCTATCAGATGTTAAAGAACAAAATTAGTAATAGACAAGCCCTTTAGATACATATCTTTTCCTAATGGTGTATATGTCACCAAAACTTTTAATATTTGAAATATTTAAGTCTTTTTCATTCTCCAGACAATATCAGAAATCACAGGCACTGAAGATATCAAAAATTTATGTACGGAGTCACAGTCCTAGATTTCCAAATACGTAACACAGTTCTTATGTTTTTTAAGAACACATAAAATAGAAAAGAACATGATTCAACTTAACACTGAGAAAGTAAATCACTGAAAATGTCATGACTTCTTGTAAACTAACGAAATATCTTGCTGTTTCTATAAAGGTGGGAATAACAATGCTCACTGTGTACAAGCAAATCAAGGCAGTGGACACAGTAAGTTCTTACAAACTTTAGGCCTGTAGATGTGTCAACTGACTGAAAAATCTTAAACATTTCTCATTAAGTTTTTCTATAGATGATAATAAAAAAGAATATTTGAAAGACCAACTACTATTTCTGTTAAGTACGGAGCCTCCAATTTTTACCTTGCATATATATTAAACACCATCTTCGATCACATTATCAATTGTAACCTAGACTTTGGAATTAAATGCCCATAATTATGTTCATATACGCAAAATTAGGACTCATAACTTACCAATGAGTATATCTATAACTCTAGGAAGTACTCCATTTTTATCATGTAGGAGAAAGTCTCTTGAAATAAAATGCTATGCCCATTTATTATTATAGAACTTCCTCTCCTTTTGCAAAATTATGAATTCAGTGTCAGGATAAGCTTTATTCTTTTCTGCCCCAAGAGCAGACAACAGGTTTACTCAAGCTGCAGAACCATCTTACTTTAAGATACATGTCTGAAAAGGCTAAATATCTTGGGGTAAGAGAGGAGTAACGACCAACCTACTAAGCAACTCACTTTATGAAGTGTAGCAGAAGATCTGTGACAAATTTGGCAGATTTGACAATAGGACTTCCAGGTTCATTAAATGTGCGAGTGTTGTGTTCAATGTACCGGACTTCCCACATTAATGAAGAAAGGCGCCTGGGCATGAATAGTCGGGGGGAAAAGAAAAGGAAAAAAATAAAGATTTAATTTCTAGCAATGTATATGAACAGGGGGAAAAAAACATTACATCCTTCTTCCCATCCACCGTTTTCCATGACATCAGAAAACGTGCACATTGCCATATGCTGCCCTCTGTGACCAGCAGAAGGCAGATCCCTCAAGCTTCCAGTTCTCATGCTGCAATTCTGTGCAATCTGTACAAATGGTTTTAAGAACACACAGCTGACACCCCTCGGGAAAATTCAGCTGTGACACCTCACCTTTTATTATTCCTTTAAAATACGCATAACCCATCCTTATATCACCTCTGAACTCACAGCTAAGGATTAATTAAATAGTAACAAAAGTGGTTTTAAAGTATACATTTTTCTGACGGATAGACAGCAACCAGATTTCCCTATACCAATCCTATTTAATGATCTAACTACAGAATAGCCACATTATGAAAAATGATGCATAAAATAACTGAAAAAATTGATCCAAATCTAAAAAAATGAACAAAAAAAAAAAAAAAAGATAAAAGCTCTGACAGCATAAAAGTTAAAAATACATACAGTCTTGTATTTTCATAAAAAAGCCCATAATGAAAAGAAATGCTACACAAGGGTTTCGTAGAGTTAAGTGGTGGATCATTTAACATGTTTAGCATAGCATAAGCATTTAGATGTAATTTAATAATGATTTTGGGTCAAGCATTTAGTTCTATACAATGCCAGTAGTTACTAGGAAAGATTTTTTTTTTTTCTGTTTTGTTTTGCATCTTTTAGAAACTCACAGGCATGCTAAAACTCCTAGTTCAGGAGGGAAAAATGAGTTTTAAGGTAAGCCTCATGAAAAGCTACCAAAATCACAAGGGATCTGAAAAGCCCACACAAAGTAAACGAAAAAAAAATTAACATGAAAGCACAACACAGGGTGACTGCTTATTATTTAAGCAGGCCACGGCAATACTACAAACTAATAAAATCCAATGTATCAGTGGTGTGTTGATTACAAAAAATAACTTCTTACTCTTTTGACAACAAAAACAAAATCCAGCAAAAAGTCCTTTCCACCTGAGGGCAAAGCAGTGCATTAGAGAAGCAAAAGCTGGATTCCTCATTTCACACAATAAACATGGAGCAATCTAAGTTCAATGTTCAATGTTCATTATAATGATAAAAAATGAGGGTGTTTTTTTGAAAATGAAAAAGCAAATTTGGTTTAGAATTCAATCTTCATTTAGCATATATAAAGCACTACAAATGGACTTTGAAATTTGTGCCAAAACAAAATATTTATTTGAAAGTAGTATTAGAGATATGCTAATTTTCAAAGCAGAAATAGCCCAAAAACTCAAAGAAACAGAAGTAATTTAAAGGATTATACTTCTACATAGATAATATTTACTGAAAAACCAACCCAAATAAAAACAAACAAACAAATTGCAACAATAAACAAAAAACAATAAACAATAAACAAAACCCCAGCAATTGCGATCACAGTTTAGGAAAACACCAAAACAGTGTCACAAAGACTAGACTTATTTTCGTTGCTGTGCACCAATTCCAGTAATTCAACAACAGTAATTTAAGAAGTCAGATTTAGTGTAGCTGCTTAAGTGATAATGCAAGATTCCTATTTATTTTTAAAGCACATTAGGACAAAAAACCCACCTGAGATATTTTTAACGTTTCTCTTTTTTTTTAAATTCTAAAGTGGAAACTTAATCCTTCAGACTAAAAGTCATTTTACTAACCCTGCAATTTGAATCTTACATGGAATGAGACTTTTGGATTAAGGAGGAATATGAATGCCGTGTAATTTTAAAATACATTTTGAAGAAAAGACGTTCAATTCTTTTTAGAGTTTTAGAAAATGGAAACGTAGATCAAGGACAGAAGATAGAAGAAATTAAAAGTGCACACCTGCACCCATCTCCTAGAGTTCGGTGTTACAAGACAAAGAGCTACCAAAAATACAGCCAGCAGTATATCACAGAAGGAACTGAGACTTGGATCTAACCTGTAAAATCTGCTTTCCAGTCTTTGCTTAATGGTACTGAGGTCTGTGGGATATGCCACAACTGTGCAATACATTGGGTAAGCTTGAAGGTCCACAGGTGCCACAAATGCAGAAGCAATATCTAGATGAAATGAAAAAAAACAACCCACACCAAAACCCCAGTTACATACCACAGAAGTCCAATAGCAGTTTCAAGATTCACCCCCCTGCAACATATGCTATTTCCTCATGTTTGAAATGTGTAGCAGTTTCCCAAAAATAACAGTAACTAGTTATTCTAAACGATTTCTGATATTCTACTTAAAAGAGTGTTTGCTGAGGTGTGTGCTGTAAGTACAGTCACTGCAGTGACTGCCCATTCTGTTGTGCACCACAGCCTCCTCAGAGACAGGGCAAGTTCTTGCATAATATACACATTTGAAAAGTAGGTTTGAATATACAAATTATACACAAAGGAAGGCATGCAATTCAGTATCGTTATTTACAACACAGGTTCATTTCATTTGATTTTGTATTGCCAATCTCACATCTTTAATCAAAGCAGCGCGTTAAATTCTTACCATAAAAGTTACAGAGGTATTTCAACTTCCATAAGAGGTGGGTAAAATCCATGCTCAAAATAAACCAGAAAGACAATATCCTGTCCCTACCTAGCAGCAAGGAAGCCCAAAAATCAATCCACCATAATGCTAGAGGACTGCTGAGCAATTTAAGTCTGTGCACCTAAAGTTGTTTTTTCCCCTCCTGAGCTTAGAACCATCATGAGCGCTTAGACATATACCTCAAGGAAAAATACTGCAATACAAACCCATAAAACCACCTTTAAAGTCTCTTTCAAAGTCTTTAAAAACAGAAAATACATTGTTGCTAAACAGACTGCTCTTCTACTAGAAGCTGTTTGCTTTTTTGAATGTTCTAGAAACTGCTACTCTGTACCAATATGCACCAGACATACTACAGCTGGATCCCAAACTAAGCTGTACGTCATACACCATAATGCAAAATGTAAAACCATTACTCTTAGAAGGCACAGTGAAAATAACTCAAATTTCATTTCCTCACAATTTCTTTGAATGTAAATCTCTAATTTTTTTACTAGACTGTACAGTTCCCTTTTGGAAGCAAAGGGAAGATTCTTATGCAGTATTGTCATCAAAGAAGCCATGCGGGATATGCAGGTAATTCGAATTATTTCAAGAATTGAGTTTTCTGGCTTGCATCAAGTATTTTAAAAAAATCAGTTAAAAAAAAGTATCTTTGACTACTTGTATGTTTAATTTATGACCACTGCTACCTAAGACTGCTGACTTAAACACCATTTGTTCACCCACAAAGACACACAAAAGACTTAGGATTCAGCCTGTATTTCACTGATGAATCTCCACTGAGACACCCATCTTTGATTAGGTAAACGTTTCAGTGATGTATTAAACATTTTAACAATTACCTTTTCAGAAACTGCCCGTAAACAGCAATTGCTCTACAACCAAATAGCAAGTGGTTTTTCCCAAGTTAATCAGTTATGTTTTCCTCAACATTTTGCATAACTAAGGAAATGAGAAAGTTTTGTTCCAGTTAATCAAGAGGTAAAAGGTGTATTTTATCACATTCATTTGGGAATTTCAGAAGCGCACATGAGCAAAGTCTAAAAAATATGAACCAAAAAACACTTCCTATATTATTCAGAATTTACCTAGAGTCATCAGTTGGTTTATCCCTGCAATAATTCTGTCGCACTCCTCATCTCGGGTCCTGGAACCCCACTCTCCATCCAGAGGTTTGTAGAGCAGTGTTCTACGCTCATCATCTGTTAAAGGAACACTAGTTCCCAGTTCTTCTGGAAATACAGCTGGAATGTAATATGAAAACTAAATAAAACAAATATTTGTACCTTGTGTAATACATACACCTGTAAATCAGATGCCATATAATAATTTTTACTAACTAAAACAAATGAAATGCATAGTTCTTGATTTGTTCAAAGACATTTTGGATGCAT